TGTTTGCCACTGCTGGATTTCGGTGTGAATATTTGGCATGGCACCGCACCTAGCTGCTCTCTTTGGGGTCCATGCTGTTCCACTTGGGGTATGCTACTACTGGAACTCGCTGTGTCACCTGGTTTGACGCTGGTGATCTCTGCAGCTTTCCGCTTCTTGCGAACACGTTCGCTCCTCCGTTTTCACTGTCTGGCGTGTTGCCGTCGTCCTTCATATTTTTTTTTGTTTTTTTCTCCATTCTGATGGGTTCCCCCTCCGGGCTATCTCCACTCTTTGTATGTAGTCTCCTATCGTGATCCCATGGTTATCTATGCAAGCAGGGAAGCCATGCTATGGTTGACACGGTCCTTCATGGGGGCCGTTTTCAGAGCCAAATAGGCGTAAGTCAGTAATGTTACATCTGAGCCTACTACTCACCAATCACCAATTGGTGACGAGTTTTGAACGTATCCGGAGGCCTGCCAAAGTTTTACCGGGACAGGGACAGCCGCACTATTAGCCCACTCGCCATATTTCAAGAAGGTGTCACCCTTCTTGGGAGCAGAATAGCACGGCTGTTTGAGTGTATGTATGTGTGTGTGTGTGTGTGTGTGTGTGTGTGTGTGTGAAAATCTTTACAAATTTCATTCAGAGAATTTTAATATGGCGTCCATGGGACATATGCAAGTCTTTATTATGCACTATGTATTATTATTGTTGTTCTTCCAGAAAATTTAACCACATATGCATTGAGTGGCCATTCAATTCTTACCTAAGTCCATTTATGCAACCGCCCCCCCTCCACACCATCAATGTAAGAATGTCTTTTCTTATATGACACTTACAAAAAGTTTGAAATTCCAGCTCCCCCCGCCCCTTTAAATGGGCTCGTATATATTGAATGATTCCTAAAACATAAATCTTGCATTATCAAACAGCATTTGAAGATATTTTGTTAAAAAATTAAGCGAAAAAAAAAATGTCCCGATTTTGTCAGTGTCCCGTTTTTTTTAGCCCTAAATTCATCATGGGGCGACTAAAACGGGGCATTACTGTATTTCCAAACTTGTTTCGGAGCTGAATTTTGCGTCTCTAATAATTTAAACAATATTCAAAAGCGACGCTCGTATGTGTTAAGCCAAGTTTAACTATATAGGTAATCCTGGCTTAAGATTTAAGCGGAGATGAAGAAATTGGTCCTCAGAGCAGTTAATTTTACATGAGATTTTCGTCGTCTGTACTTTGATATTCTTTTCTGATATATCTTGGTGTCATCCCTAGAATCCTTTAAAATTCTCTTAAAGTTTACTTTGGATTTTTTAAAGTTCTTAATCATCCTTGAAAGACTTTTGAAAATCTATCACAGACAAATACCTTTGGTATGTTTCCAATGTTCACAATTTATTTTCTGGGAAGGAGGTATATTTTCCCCTATTTTTAATAGAAATTGAAGGCATTTCCCAATAGTTTTCCTGGTGTTCTAACGTTTTACGGTTCACTGGTCACCCTGGTTAAACTTTGCAATTTTTTTAACAGTTTTGTATATCTTGAAAAAACTACTTCAGACTTTCTTAGTGCTAAGTACTCAATTTAAATATTTTGTTGATATTCTAAATTTTACTCTATTTTAGTAGTGAAAAAGTGACTTTAGTGACTATTTTTAGGGAAATAGTGACTTTAGTGACTTTTTTGTGTAAAAAGTGACTTTTTAGTGACTGGCTTCAAAATAGTGACCGTCACTAAAAAGTGACCTGCTACAAGACTTGGGTTGGAAAATTTCTCGACTTTCCTTGGCATAGAGTATGATTGTACTTGCCACAAAATTATACTGATGCAAAAATGGTATGATCGATTCTCTTCATCGACTTTCTTTTTTGATAGGCACAGCTTTATAAACAGATTTGGCGCTATTTCTGCCACATAGTTTAATAAGGGAGGTTCTCATCTGGCATCCAGAATGGCACACGAATCAAGGAATGTGTTTGCAGCTAAATCGATCATAGTCACTTACACCCCTTTCCTTCTCATCCTCTCAATTAATAACTGTGGAAGTGCTAATAGCGAATTCGTTTCTTTTTCAGTTCCAACCTGGATCGGGTATCAAGATTGCTCAGGTTGAGGTTTCACACTTCGTCCGATAATAAACGAATTCGCTTTAAGTTGAGAGCACGGAATACGCTAATAAGCTATAAGCTTGAAATGTGAAGAAGAAGAAGACATACGGTAAAAATAATTGTGACATTTTGTTCTATAATTTAAATAAATTAGTATTCATATGATCGAAAATTTAAAAATTTGTGTCTCAGTATTTTTAAATTTGACCTGATTACATGTAAGTTTTTCGAAGTCCAGGTGGATCGTTGCACCGGATGATAAATTGAACTTGGAAATTTATTACGAAAAACAAAAAAAGATCCATGTAAAATCATTGGAACCTCGGACTGAAAAATTTCGATATTTTGAGACTAGACTAGTTTTTCACATTCTTGAACTTTACCAGACCCCACAAAATATAAAATTTGAGAAGATGTTCCAGGTAATTTTCAGAAGTGTTTCAAGAAATTTTTAAGAAGCAATCAAGATAAATTCCAAGATAGCTCTGAAGAGACTATTACGGGGATTGTGAGGCAAAATCCAGGAAAATCTAGAGCAATTCGAAGAGATTGTTGAGCAAATTTCCAAAGAATTCTGAGAAGCATTCCAGAAAGATCCAGAAAAATGTTACAAGCGAATTTCGAGAAGAATTTTAAAGAAATCGAATTCTCAGAATAATAGAAAGGAAATTCTCTCAAGGGATTTTAAGAAGAATTCTGAGAAACAATCCCAAAGAATTCTGCTGTAAATTCCAAAATAATTTTGAGACAATACTTTGGGAAACCTCAGGTGAATTCCTAGAGCAGGAGAATCCTGAGAATATTTCCTAAATGATTATGGTAAGAATTTCAAAAAAATTGCGAGGAAAACTTTTATGTAATTCTGAGGAGAATGCCGTGGTAAGGAATGGAGAAGTTTTCTAGATTCTGTGACACGAAAAGCTCTCAAGGTTCTTAAACCAACAAAGTTAGGCTATCAAACAACTTTTGATGTATCGAAATTAACCAAAACTCAAATGTATGTGAATTAGATTTTTTTTTTTAGGATTCTCATTGCAATCATTTATAAAAATTGAGAAGGTCTTTTACTAGACAAATTTATTAAACTATGAGACAATTAATTTTTGGTATCTCGTACTAAGAGAAAGTAAAGAACTTCGAGAATGAAATATTCAATGTATTGAACTTTTTTTATTAATACAATTCGGTTAATAAAGACAAAACTAAACATATTTTAAGGTACAAATCAAATTTGCGGTTGAATTTCGTTCGAGTATTCCATCAATTTGCTTCTGGAATTATTTTCAGAATTTTAAATGAATTAATTTCATGATTTTTTCTCCGTTGCATGGAATTCAACTCACAAGTTTGAAGTTCTCCTAGGTTCTCCTCACAAATCCCTTCGAATTTTCCTCAAAATGCGTTTAGCATTCAAGTTAAAACTTGGGATCCTTTACCAAATTATTTTGAAGATCTCCCTTAATTGTGCGCAGCTTTAATTGCAATTCTCCTTAGCATAACCCCCTCGAGTATTCCCCGAAAACTCCCAGAGGAATTGTGCTCTGGATTCCTTTTCTTCCTCAGAATTTTCATAGATTTCTCCTTTGAATTGCGTTGCAGTTCTCCTAGGAATTATCTTAAAATAATCCTCAGAATTCTCTTCCAATCTTTCCTCAGAATTTCTAATTCAGGGTTTCTTGTTTCTTGGAACTCTACTCGAAACTTCAAAAAGCAGATTTCACTTGATGTTTTCCTCACAATAATTCTTCCCAGAACTCTCTTGGAATAGGTTCCCGAAAAATTATCATCATGTTCTTTATGCAATTAATTAATTCAATGTTATGATCCTTGAACATTTTGCAGGATTTTTTTTAATTTATTTATGTCCAACATCATAAATATTTGTCCTCATCCCAGGAAGGCAAGTATAATTATTTTTAAATCCAGTATTTAAAAAAAATGTTCAAGTTTAAAATCTGTGAAAAATACCTAGGCTCCAGAACCTGCAAACAAATCCACTGAAGTTTAAAATTAATGTTGTTACTGGAGATAAATCTGCTCCGATGATCTATTATTGATTGTATTACAAAATGCATATATTTATTTAAAAATTCCCTGAGAATTCCAGGTTTTTCAAGGAAAAGTAGAATTCCCTGAGGATTACAGGGTTTCCAATCATGTTAAAACTGATTTTGGCTAAATTTATAAGATCCTTACACTTTGTGATCGCATTCTCCGAAAATACCCATGCATTGTGGGTTGCGAGTTAATACGACTTCTTGAACAGCGGATCTCCATCAACACAAGAATGCTAGAAGAAACAGATGCGTTTTTTCAATCTCTATGAAATGCATTCAAATTCACAATATTCCTCAATCCACTGAGAGACGGCTGCTTTTCCGAACTACGACTCAAAAACGTTATCAACGAGATTTTGAAAAAAAAAAATCTCCCTGTCCCACCATCCTAAGCCTCGACCATCAACATCAACATCCAATCACAATCTGAGGCACTTGAGCTCCATGCGAATGAACACCGCGAAGGAACTCACTCTCCCATTTCCCCTCCAAAACTCGCACCGTGCTCGTGCTCTCGCACACAACCTGTTCAAGCTGCGCGTGCGAGTGTATGAGTGCAATGTCGGCTGCTTCTGTGCTGCTGCGACTATCAACACAAAACAGGTGAGCGCGAGCGAATCGCTCCATCTCCCGTTCATTCCACTCCCCGAGAGCGTGTTAAAACACACGTCGCCTTTTTCGCTCGCGCTCGCGCTCGCACTCACACTCACACTCCCACAGGCAGATCAGCAATCACAGGAGCGCAACCAGAAAGACGTCCGTCCGATCGGGAACGGGAACCGAACTAATCGAGCTGCTCCTCCATCCATCAAGGACCAACTTCGAACAGGAAAACAATCTGGAAACTTACCGGACGCATCTCGCATCTTGGCCCGCTTCAGCGGTGGTTCCTCCATGTGATCGGCCATTGTTTACCACCGCGCGCGACACGATACAACTAAAACAAGAAAAAAAAATGCACTTGCGCTCCTCCGTTTAGATCGAAAAAAAAAACACTACTCTCGAACACTCCCGAAGAGATTAATCCTTTGGATTGCGCTTCCTTCGAGCACACAGTTTTGTTAGACCAAAATTTACTTCTGCTGTTCACTACGACCGCCAATACTCGGTTTCACTTTCCTCTTTCCACAACGAAAAACAACGCACTCTTTCACTGTCTCTGCTTTCATCTTTTCTGGCATTCTGATGGTTGATACTATTTTCTTCCGCTGCTAGTACTAGAACACTACCGTTGTTGTCGCCGCGGCTCGAATCGATCGAAAAACATGCACAATATAAACACTGACTGTGACGACGACGACGACGACGGCGATCGGCCCCAAACGGTGTAAACAACAAGCTGGTGGAAAGAACGTCACAATCCGCCTGTAAATATTTCGCAGTGGACATTACTGTTAAAAAATAATTATCAGTGTTGTTGCTCTGTTAACCAAACGCGCCTGGCCTTTTTTTTTGTTTGTTTATTCGCGAATTATTTTGGCGCTGTCACTTTTTGACAGCGATTGCTTCTGCTGCTGCGAGCGAGCGATCCACCACTGGGAGACAAAAACGTAAACACACGCGCGCACTGATTGATCCGGGTGGAATCGGAACTGCTTTTCCGCCCCGGACCGAAATGACGATAGATTTAAAGAATTTTCTTCTTGGTGGCCCTCCGGCGAACGTACACACTGAATGGCCACATCTTCGGGGCCCTACCCCGGGGAACCGCACTCTTGAGTCTTATTTATTAGGACGTACGTGATCCGGCAATGATAACGATTTTCCTTTCACTCCGATCCGAGACAACACTGCTGTTTGCGAACTTGGGCTTCCAAAAGTCACTGGATGGAAATTGAAAAATTTTCTGATCCGGAAATTTTCCCGAAAATACACACAATTTGTCCACGGCCAATTTTTAACTCCGCAAAAATGTTTCCCTCAAAATGCGCGACTCTCTCGACTGCTTTTCGATTTCTATGCTGCTGCTGCTGCTTTCGTCGTATTTCTCTTCACCGTCGACGTCGCAGTCTTCGGAAGTGGCCCGATGTGCGTCCGACATCGGTGAGCGCTCACACAGCACAAGCAATGGTGTCGGTCCAGTGTCGACGAGAAGAAAATTAGGTACAAAATTTCGATCGCGATTTTTCGGAAATTTTACTACCGGACCTACCCCCGGAACTGGCCTTAAACGGTCGGGGATGCCGGCGCGCGTCGATTGAACCCGGCCCAGACCCACCTAGTGCCACTCCGGGACGCCAAATCGGCCACGGAACGTCCAGCGAAAAAACCTTTCCACCAAACCAAAGTCGCGAACAAGTCAAAATGGCGGCTGTTTGATGAGGCGAACGAACAACACACACTCTTCCTTCTGCTGCTGTGGTGCTGTGCTGGGGCCTGTGCTCTAGCTGCTGCCTGCCTGAATCGTCGCTGCTGTGACACACAAGAGTCTCTGGCACACACAAGGAGGAGCGCTGCTTTTGCTTTTGGCTGGCTGCGGATTCGCTCTCACTCACTATACTGACTGACCGAATCGACTGCCTGCTTTTGCTTGCCGTGCTGCTGCGTTTTGCTTCACCAACTTCTCTCACCGTGCTCTCTCTCCGTCGACTCCTCGCTGTCGCTCTCCCCCGATCGGCCCATCGCACACGGGAAAAATCGACCAACACTGCGCGATTTGGTCGAAAAGAAGAAAAAGTTTGTTCACGTGACGCGTCGACCGCGGACGACCCTCGACTCGAGCTGACGAACGCGTGACGGCGCCACTGGCCGCCACCTCAATCGATCAACATTTTCTTCGACGTCGACCGTCGTGCAAGAGCGAGAGACTGTACCCGCAGGAAGTTTCTGGACGAATCGACCAATGCGAAATTTTTACCCCACTGCATCCCCCGAAGCAGTTCCATTTCACCGGAAATTTACCACCCCGTTCAGTGGACACACTTCCTAGCAACCGACCGGAATGACAATCGCACTTTTCCGACGGTAGCAATCGAATCGGATGGGCCGTCGTCCAGAGCTCGCAGATGGGGCACACCCTCTCGAAATCGATATGGTCAAAAAGTTTGTGCGATTTCGTCGACCACTCGACGAGGAGAGTGCAGCGCGCAGTTCGTCGAGAGTCGATCCGATAAGCGACAGACGTGGAACAGTGGGTAAAGTTGGAATTGAATGGTGGTCAAAATTGGAAGCCGGTTCGAAGCGGACGTTGGCGATGCGTGGCGCGTGGTGTTTTGTAATTTTGTATGAAAATGATCATGTTAGTGGGCCCCGTTATGGTAACCATGTATAAGAATGTTGCTTTCTTTCAACCCTTTATAAGATATCGAGATAATAAGTTCTTTTAGATGATAATGTTGCGCTGATTATTATTTTTAACGTACAGCACGAGAGTAAAATAAAGTATCGCGTGTGGGGTTTTCCGGTGTCCAATTTGACCGACAAGCCAACAATATCATAATCATAAATATTATGCAAGTAGTTCCAGTTCGACCTTCTCTAATTTTTAATAAATTTTGTATAATTGTTAGTTATTGCAAATCATTTACATTTTTGCAAAAATGCGGTCATTTTGGATTGAAATTTTTCAATACATTGTAGCACGAAAACGTCACTTCTAGTCGAAATGACGGTCACCTGGGTAGAATTGAAAGTTTTTGGTTCTTTTTGGTAGAAAGTTAGGTAGCATTCAAAACAAAAATCTATCAACTCTCAACTCAAAAATTGTCCGCTCTCTAGTTTTAAAAGCTGAAACTTTCAGAATGAATTGTAGTAGGTACAGTCAAATTAAAAAAGTTGCAGTGTTGAAATTAAAAGTGGATTATTCTGATTTCAAAATATACTCTCAACAGGAAATGTGGTGTACAGTCGAAATTCGCTGGTTGGGCCACCACCTCGGCCCTAGTAACGAATTCGATTAGTTAGTTGGGTCAACTGACAGAAGCTCGGACAGAAGGCTAAAATTTATCCGGCGGTGTACGCATCTTTTGTTGTGGTTGAGAAGATTACACTAAAAGCGGATTCAATCACAGCGGATTGAAACCAGTTGCTTGAAACTGACAAAACATATTATGTGCTCAATTTTTGTTCATGTTTAATTTTAGAATATACAATAAAACTCAAACGTTTCAGGTAAATTTCAAATGTTGCAAATGTTGAATTTTGACTGTAGTTAATATGACATGGGCTATTATAAATGGGAAACGATACTTAAGGCCCAAGCGCAATGACAGCGGAAGTGGAACGGCAGCGGCAGCAGAAAAGCCCGATCTGAATAAGCCTACTTGTCGGATTGAACACTAGTTAGAACCAAATCGACTTCGGTTAGGCATCTTGATGTCATTTGTGATAACTGTCAAAGTTTCCGTTTCCGTTCCGCTTCCGCCCACATTGCGTTTGGGCCTTTAGGGCATATAACCACTGCGAGCTTTAATTCTAATTCAAACAGCAATCTTACTTCAAATTTACATACGTCGCATCGGTGATAAGGTCATAGTTGTTACGCTTCACCGCCATCAAAACATATCCATCGTTGCCCCAGTGTTTGAACCAGGAGTTCTTGATTAGCCAGTAATCTTCTACTTTGAGTTTTCCGCATTTAAACGCCACCACTGCATTGATCCAATCCATCCAAATTGTTCTTGCATTCCGGTTTGTAGTAAACTCCATTTGCTTAGTAGCTGAAAGGCTTGTGACCAGCATCGATAGCAATCGATAGCCCTAGGAAGCCTACATTTTGAATTTAAATGTGAACCGAGAAGTGAATTGCTGGTCTGAGTTCCTCTACACACTTAAATTTTTTCGCCGAGAGCATTTTGCTGATATAGGGGAAATGGATGTAATGTCAGCCTAAATGCCCCTAATTTGGGCCCATATATAAATTCAAGAATCGACTAAATTTTCAATAGCAACCAAAATTATCCATAAGTACCGTCCCAATGACGCGTTCATCTAGATAAAATTGATAAATAGCAGTGATGGGCCCAATCTTAGATCCATAGGCCAACATCAGAGCCATTTCCCTTATCAGCTAACAAACAGATATTTTGCAGAGATATCAGCAAAAATAAATGCCGAGGTAATCGGCTGCTGGAGATTTTACCGAGCTAGATTAAGTATGTAGTATATTAAATTAGAGTCGAGATTAGAGTATGTTTCTGAAATACACAGTCACGTACACGTACTATAATGTTGTGAACAATTTCAATGACAGCTATCCAGCAGTGCTCCCATTTTATTTCATGAACAATCCGATGCCTACGAAATTGTTCCGAAGGTGTGCCAATGGAGGTGCCCAAGCTGTGCCGAATATATGCTGAGTGACTTACTCCTTGCTACAATTACAATTACAATATGGTGCCCTACTAGTGAAATTCGATTTTGACCCGATGGTCTAACGCAACGCCATTCTTGGCCGTTAGAGACATTCCGTTTGAAGTCCCCATTTGGACTTTATCCAGCGGAACAACCACAGGAGATCCATTGTTTCGGCAGATGCGGTGAGCTTATCTGTGGACGATGGCTTCCAATGCAGATCGGAATGTTTGTGGAACACATTCCAATTTTCTCTTTTCGCAGTTCACAGTTCACGTGAAATGAAATCGATCAGTTTACACCTCCGGTGAAGTGAAAATCTGACAGATACACAGCAACAGTATCTGACAGATACACAGCTAGCACCAACAATCAATACGAAACTAACGATTTTAAATTGGCTCACCACTTTAGTAGCCTATTGGTCCCAAGCAAACGATTAACGTACCCTATTCTAGTTGAAATTCTATTACTACACTATGTTTGTTTTGATTCACTATGAAAGTTTGACAGATAACATCAGGGGTGTGTGGATTCATGCAGGGGTGAGTGAAATGGGACTGCTTGGGACCGTTGTTCTGGTACTGAGTGAGCCAAAAATAATAATGATTTTCTTCGGGACCCAGTGGTCTTAGAGTTACCTCTATGCTAGCACCATCTATCATCCACATTCCCAAGCATTGTTTTGCAACCGGAGCATCCCTCGTTCATGCAATTTTTTCACTAGTTGCTTTTCCCTCGTTCGGTCAACGCGTCAGCTGTGTTGAATAAAAACAAAACAAATGGAAGTCAGTGATGTCGGGTCTACGAAATTTTCCGTATATCTATAGAATTGATTGAATTCTGCAGAAATACGGATCCATAGGAAAAATTCACAGAAACTAAGCCTTTTTTTTAGGGATTTGTTTTGTTTGTTTATTGTGCTTTTTCTTTTGTTGGAAACAAGTTTTTAAACGAGGTAATGCATCACTTTTTAGTGCCCTTTCTAAATGTAGATGTGTCAATGTAATATGTATCAATCAATGATATTCATGGTGAAGTATTGACCATCAATAACTGGTAAAAGTTGATAGAATATTACAGTCATCAACATGATTTGTTCTCGAATTCTGTGTACATCGTACAACGTAATGATAGGAACGGAATGACTAATGTGCAGCAGTTTTGATGTAATATTCAACAACTTTTTTTTTGTATTCGTCAGGTGTGGTATGTGCATAGAGGTAACTCTAAGACTACCCGCATAAACAATAACCATAAGATGCGCCTAACCACCAATTCGGGATATCATCCCAATTTTATGTGGTGGTATGGTCACACCATCTAAGATATCGTCAGTATATGGTACACGTTTATTAGGGTAGAAGGTCCCGAAATAATGTGTTCAATTTTTTGGCTCAGCTCTGGTACACTCTTCGGTCCCAAGCTAATCGATTCACCCCTCGAAACATAGGAAAAACCAATAACCCCTCATTTTATCTGTCAAACTTTCATAGCGAATCAAAACAAACATTGCGTAGTACTAGAATTTCGACTAGAATGGGGTACGTTAATCGTTTGCTTGGGACCAATAGGCTAGTCAAGTAGTGAGCCAATTTAAAATCGTTACTTTCGTATTGATTGTTGGTATGTGTCTTCAGTGGGATGCCTTGACCACTTATCGTTTTCAAGAGCTGACATCTACTAACTAGACGTGAAAAAGAACTGGCATCACTGATAAGTTCGAAATGTGGTGGCTTGCTCAATGCTTCAGTGGCGCCATCATGAAAAATGCAAGCACATTCCCAACTAAACATTATTTGCGATGAATGTGATTGTGAGTGTTATGTCTGTTTGTCTGTGCTTATACTCTAAGACAAGAAAGTCCCGAAGAAACGTGCTCAACTTTTTGGCTCAGCTTTGGTACTATCTTCGGTCCCAAGCTAATCGATGCACCCCTCAAAACATAGGAAAATCCACGAACCCCTCATTTTGTCTGTCAAACTTTCATAGCGAATCAAAACAAACATAGAATCTCGACTGGAATGGGGTACGTTAATCGATTTTCTTGGGACCAATAGGCTAGTCAAGTAGTGAGCCAATTTAAAATCGATAGTTTCGTATTGATTGTTGGCTTTACTTCCCTCAGAACATCCCAGTGGCGTCGAGTGGGATTGAACCCAGGTCTGCTGGGGTGAGAGGTAATCACATGGTTAGGCGCTTCTCATCGCTTTTAAATTAAGCTTTTCTCATTTTGCTTAAAATTT